AAACAATTAATTGATTAATCAAGAGAATAGTTGGTAGATTAATAATTACTGGAAATTAGTTGTGGCCGTGCTGTTGCAGCAACATGACAGAAATTAGTATTTTTGAGGTAGGGTTCACTATGTTGTGAGTGCACAGACAAGTGACTCTGTGGTGACTGCAAAAGACAACATGAAACCATGAAGTATACATGAACACAGTAAACAACAAGATGTAAATGTGAACGGATGAAAAAGGTTTGCATTGTACGCTGTCAATAAACACTCCTAATGTGACAAAGTAGTCATAAAGATGGTTAAACATTAAAACAAGAAAAGGCCAATAACAAAATGAAGCTGCAATAATTAGACATAACTACTTTGTGCTTCTGTCTGTGGACAGCCGACAGATATAGACAAGTGTAGATTAATGCTTGAAATAATTCTTTGAAACCAAAACAGAAAACAAACAGCCAACTCTATTGATGTGATGTAAAAATTAGGATTAGTCTTTATCTTTGTGTGTGTGTGTGGAGGTCGGTTTCTGACTGTAGACACTGTTAAGTAAGAGGTAACTATCATGTACCTGCCTATAATAATGAACTGAGCGTGATCAGGAACTTAAAAAATGGCGGCTAAATAGTCAGAACAGACAGAAAAATGTCCAATTCACAAATTAAAAAGGCTAACAACAAAACTGTATTGAAAAACATAATGCCAATTCACAACGATCAACAGCAACGGAACTAAGTGTTAAACCTTGACATCAATATATTGTGAATATAAAATTTCTTATCTCTATACGCCTTTAAAAAAATACACTTTATACATGAAACCCAACAAACGCACAAATTTCACCATGTTCAGCGCACAACTCCAGTGCATCCCTTGAACAAATAGAAGCTACTGTATTCTTTCTGAACAAGACGGGTTCTCTTCTTTTATCCTAATCCTCTATAAAGCAAACATGTATATATATGAATACATTACGGTTGGTTATTCAAACAAAGGCTGACAGTTTCTGATTCGCTCTCTTGGCATCAAATGTTACTCGACACTGGCGTCTAGGTTTGAGAAGGATGCTCACAGTTTGATGGGAAGTTGGACCGTTTCCGATGGCAGGATGTGATAACGTGGTGAGTGTACAATACAAAATGTGATCCCAGCTTCGATCTGATTTGGGACGAGTTGAAAAACCATAAATGCTACAAGAACCATGCAACAGTCTTAACCATGTCCCAGCATGGTTTGCTCGTTTCTACATGGTGAACGATGCTGAGATTAAATCTGTTGGCTCGCTGCAACAGATGTCTGATTCGAAAGCTGGTCGGCAGCCCTGAATTAGTTAAGATGCTTCACATTTAAGCAACTCATTCTCTCCTGCCATCCATTATTCATGCAAGCATGCAAAAAAACAAGTAGAGAACCAGAAACAAATCAACTTTTCTCCTCAAACGAAGGCCAAGGTAAAAGCTATTTACACCGAGCATGCAGCTAGGTGGTTCAGTTCCATTGGCGTAGATATAACAACAGCATAGAGGTCTAGCGTATATGACTGAGGAAAAGTGATGCAATACTTGTTGCAGGTGATTAAGACAGAAACTGGGCATGCAGCGCCCAAAGCTGAAAAGGAAAGGCACTGTGAATTCTTTGCTCGGTGCATACGTACAGTGCACTGCATGCAAAGGGGGAAAAACTCTTACAACGTTCTAGTTTGTCCGTAGATGGAAGGAATGAGTGAAATCTGAGCCCTAAGGAGTGACAGAAGGTCCGTATCTGTATGGCCACAGTGGCCGGCGAGAGCGTTCTCCTCGGACGATGCTGGATTCATCGACTTTTACTTATGCTGTGGTTAAAATCTACAATCCACATTTCTGCTTTATATGGAAATATAGGGTCATCAAACCAACATTTACTGCAGCTCATTTGATTTACAGCTATAGAGGACAGTTTGCTTCATGGAATGTTTGCAGTCTGCTTCTCTCCTGTCTCGACTCGGAGCTGATTCAAATCACGGAAGAACAATTCTGCGTGTGCAATTTGGCAAATAAATGATCTGAAACCACGCCGAGCACCATGCATGGCTGATGTTCAGTGGTGCAGCATTCAGTGAGAAGTCTTGTTATACAAGTTACTGTCTCCAAGCCACCCTGAAGTAGCTTAAAACGTAAGACTGCATCTGAAAATCATTCATTATAAATTTGTATAATGAAGACGATCGATGCATTTAGTTCAGTTGAAGCAGCATCACTGTATAGTGAAAGATAAGCAACATTTAGAGCAGGTTTGCTGTGAAAAAAGTTTCAAATGTGCTGGTTGTTTCTTTAGTACACGGATACTACAGAGATACCACATGCCATGTAATGTCTGAAGTAAAACATATCGCTGAATGACAATAAATCACAGGGATCATCTAATGGCTTTGGCAAGACAGGATGGAGAGTCCGTGTCACTCTGCTGAGGGGTTCCCTGCTTTTCATTCACAAAAATCCCAGGAGCTGGTCACCTCTGCTAACCTTCATTATGCTGAGTGAGAACTAAAATGTCACAGAGAACAATATAAGCAGCAGTGGAGAGATACATTTCCAAATTTATATTCAAGGTAACAACAAAATGGGGTTAAAATCCTTTCCTGATGCCTAGAAATGACTCAAACACAAGAAAAACCTTGAAGCTAAAGTGCTCTGGCACAACTGTATCCTTGGCTTTTCCTTAGTGATGGTTGGTGTGTTTATGTTCTATATAGGATAAACGACAGAATTACTCTCATACTACGTCTCCTCATTGTCATGCTAGGTGGACCACAGGGGTGGGGGCTTTACAGGCCAAGTCCAAGTGACTGTGCTTTCAGTGTCTTCCGGGGAGAGGGCCCATGGACAGAGAGTCCTCCTCGTCAATAGTGTCCAGCTCTTCGTTGCGCACAGCATGGGTGATGAGTTGGAGCTCCTCAGAGAGTGTCTCGCTGCGGTACGCTACACGGATGTCGGGGACGTTGGTGCGGCGGATGTCGTTGCTCAGGGGACCCTCCTTAGCATAACTGGGGCCCAGCCAGTAGCTTTTGGCCTGGAATTAGGAGAAGCTACATGATTGGGAAGCTCTGATACAATAGTCCTTTTAGATTCAAAGTGTCGTCTACAAGTAATGAGTCTGAGGGACACAACAGAGAATAATGTGTCTGTGACTGTGTCTCATCAGTGAGATAAACTACACTGAAGCTCTAACTCTCTAAACTCTAATACAGCTGTTCTGATAAACAGGCTACATTTATTATGTCTATGACAATCAAATTCTATAACAATAACTGTCATGGAGATGTTATTTAAATAAAATGCTCTAGCAGAGCAGCAGCCTCTGTGGCTGGTAAATGAACCCAACGCGGAAATAACAAAAACTCCTGACACTTTGGCTACAGAAGTGATCAATCTCCATAAGGCCCCATAAAAAAATGCTTTATATCAGAAATAGACGTGTTTACAGCCTAGTACAAAAAAATAGTTTTGGTCTCTATGAGCCTGTTTACACCTGGTATTAAAATGCATCTTGGATGATATGGTGACAGGTTAGTATGTCGCTGAACTAAAAAAAACAAAAACGATAGTAATTAAGGGCACAGACTGACAAATTTTGAGTAGGGTACAGCCCTATAGAGCAGGGAAGTGAGATCCTATCGCAAGTGGTCATTCAAGATGCATGTGGAGACACACTGTAGTGTAGTGCCAGGTGTAAACTGACGTACTTATTCCCCATACATGACAACTGTAGAGGGGATGGATTTTTATTTAACTCACCTGTTTAAATTACATTAAAGCTTAAAGTTATGCATAACTAAGGGAATGGCCAATTGGAGTGACAGGTGAGTGCTGTCACAGGCTGCTGTGTTGAGTAGTCAGGCTTCATTCAGCCCACCTGAGCTCCACCTACGATTCACCTCTTTGCCCATTTTTGGATTAGCTGGGAGTCAGTCAAGACTACTGAGATGACTACAACCTGAGCCGACCATTTTCAATTACACAAGCTATGGTTTTAGAGCTGGGGTCATAGTTAGTGATTGTTTTGTACTGTACTGAATTATATTCAGAGGTTTTTCTAACATTCTGTCCCCCCTCATTTATGTAAACAGGGAGGACAAAGAATTAGAAACAGCTCTCAATATAATGTAGTCCAGTACAACACCCCCTTTAACTACGACCTCAAATAGTTTATGGCAGAGCTGTTGTACTGAATAGAATCATATGGTATTAAAGTTTACCTAAAAAGTGGCCACTGAGTGCATGTCACCAGATTAAATACAAAAAATATGAAGAGCTAGTTTAAACTAGTTTACCTTGTGTGAAAAGCCACTCATGAGGACACTGTTCCTTGCCAGCTCACACATGTCACAGGAACTTAGTTTCCACACCTGAGTAGCAATGCTGTACTCCTCCATCAGAGGCTCCTGGGCCAAGACAAACACACAAATCACACACAACACACACACACAAAGAAAAATGTCATTTCAGCCTCCTCGTTTCTAATAATCTTTTTGCAGTTTGTACCTTAAATGTGTAAATTCACACAAACTTCCTTCGTACTGACCTTAGTGAAGTGGAACTGAAGAGGATCGTCAGTGGACAGAGAGACAATGAGGCCTCTGGACAGGTACTCTGGCAGCGGGTTGCGATGGTAACTGAGGAACAGGCTGTTGTTACTCAGGGGTGACATGGCGATGCCAATTTGAGCCAGGTAGTAAAGATACTGCAGCACCGGGGCCTGATGGATATCAAACAGAGAGAGAGAGAGAGAGCTTGAGAGACAAAGCAGTGGCAGGTCGAGACCACCTGTCACACACACACTACATGGTGTTCTTTCTCTTTTATCTCACAGGGGAAATGGCAGTATAACCAGAACTGTGTAAGGAGGATGTAATTTGGGACTTAGATTTATTCATTTATACTGGTTGTTTGTTTTAACAGTTTTTTGTAGAATATAGCTTTATGTTGATTTTAATATATGGTTTTATTATGTGGCCATTTGTTTTGCATTTTGGTAATCAGTGTTGGTTGGTAAGGATTGGAGCTCTGTAATTTCCATGTTTTTATAAATTAAATAAATTCAATCTTGAACCTGTTTGTAATTCCATCAATGAAGGCCAAGAGGGAGCCCACATATTAATAAACAGTCACCAATTAACACCATTAATACACCATATGGTCTTTTCTTTCTGAATGTCACACAGCATTTGTGAGATTATTTAACATGCCAAAACCAAACACTTCTATAGCAGTCTTCTGGAAACCCCTGCCCTGACCTTTCTGAGGAGCAGGCCGTGGGAGATGTTCTCTGATAACATGAAACCTGACACCAGGTGGTGGATCGGCCCCGCCTCCCCACAGTGAGGTCGCAGCACAAACGTACGGAAGCCTCGCCGCCTGAGAAGGGACATATTTATTCACAAAACAGCATTAAAACCTCATGTTTTTGTGTATTTTGTGGATGATTATGTGTTTAAATGAATGAATGTGATCAAAGTCTGTCCAACTGGCCCATACCGTCGCAGGTGGTTGAGCACAGTCATGTTGGCATAGGTGTAGTAGAGGTAGTAGGAGTAGGGTGGGTTGTCTTCCTCTGTCCAGTTGGCAGGCAACGGACTATCAAGATTGAAAATGTGGTTCTCGGGTTTAGACTCATCGTCCACGCTGTCGAAGCCCACCACCTAGTAACACACACGCAACAAACAAACAAAACAACAACAAAGCAACAATCATTCAGTCTCTTTTCGTGTGAATCTTCAGGATAGCTTGGATTTGTGGTAAACTAATACTCACATGCTCCAGGAAGAGGTGCAACTCAGGATGACTCCGGGGGTTGATCGTGACTTCAAACAGAGGGATGAAGATATTCTCCAACATCTCCTGGAAATTGGCCAGCTGCTTCTTTGTGTGGTAGACGTCGCTGGAGAGGTGGTGATTAAACAGTGACATTTGTTGATACCATAGAGATGATTATTATTTGTGTTTGTACAAATGATTTGTTCAAAATGTAGGTTTAATTGCAGAGGATAGAAGCGATTATCCATATCTACACTAGGTAGTTAGTTATAGTTGCTCTTTCTTTCTTTTTTTCTTGAGTAAACTGTAACCAGGAAGGAAACATTTCTTGTGTTATGATATTACCACCAATCACCATTATAACTCATCTACAACTTGACAAAGCTTCAAGGTAGGGGTACTTACAATAAACGTGGCACCTGGACAAGCCAGCGCACATTATCGGAGTACACTCGGTGTTTAACGGCCCACTGAGCCAGCTTATCCCATTCGTCTCGGGAGCGACCATAGATGGACAGACGTAGCTCAGAGTTCTGGTACTTACTCTCCTCCAAGTCGTACATCACCTCCTGGACAAATAGTGAGAGTAGAAACCAATGTAAGTTTGTGTATGCATTGAAGGATTGTGTGGATTACATATGAATGATTTCACACCTTGATAATGTGTGCAAAGTATTTTCCTTCAATGTGGTTGTCAGTCTTGATGAAGATCTCTCTGAGGATGGATTCTCCAATGGGGTTGTATTTGGCGTTGAACTTGTCAAACCGATGGAAGGTGTTACGATCCTGATGAGTAAACAAAACCAGTCAAACCTCATTTGTATCTACACCAAATGTATTACACAGTATTCCTTGGCTGCGGCTCCTATTTCTCACCGCATGCATGTCGAGAGTGTCTACGCTCAGGTCAAAGGCCGTCAGGTTCATGCTCTCAAACACCTGCTTGAGGGTCTGACCGCGGCCGTGCTCAATGTGAACAATCTCCTCAGGGTATTTCTTCATGGCTCTCTTGATGAATCGCAGCAGGTGCTTCTGATTCATGCAGGATGACGCATGTATGTGTGTGTCCACCTGGAGTTACAATGGAGCAGAATATGTGAGAGTTAAGTTCAGCACTGGGTCTATACCGGTACCACTTGCTGTCATCATTTCAAAATGTCTTTTTTCACATGTCACATGTTGGCTCTTGCCTTTCGTATGTTGTAGAAGTCTCTGTGTGGAACTTTCTTCTGAGCTGCCAACTCCTTCATCTCATTCAGGAGGATGTGCATCTGGAACTTAGAGCTCAGGTACTGTAGGCGGCGGTAGCAGAAAGACTTCCTGTAAACACCATCCAGAGGACAAAGATATTTTATTTAAAATAAACTCAAAGCTACAAAACAATGACATCTGTAGTATGATGGTATCGAAGACACACTCACACTGGCCCATTGATAATGAGGGCCATCATAACATTCATGTCCGCAATATACTCCTTCAGGTCAGGATAGGGCAGGTCTAGTTCTGTACTTCTGAAAAGCAGAACAGTATAAAGATTATACAAACAGACTCACCTTTTTCTTTTTTTAAATTAAGATGTCACCCTACAGGTACAAACACATACTTGTCCATGTTGGTGTTCTTGGTGTAGACATGGACTACTCCATCCACCATCTTGCAACCATATCCTGTGTCTGCCGGCATATTCTTGGGGTCCTGATTGTCATAGGGGTGTGTCTTTGAAACAGGTGGATGGACGGGGGCATCTGGGAAAACATTGATATTAATTAAGTTATATCATCCATGCTACAAAAAATAAATAGATATTAACTGTTTTTCTTGTTCAGTGTTTTTCTCATTAGTTGGCATTTCCTTGCTGTCTCAATATCAATATGTATTGTGTGACAGCCTCACGCCCTATCTTGTTCTTCCTTGTTGGCTGTGTTTTTTCACTTTGTTCCAAGAAGTTGAGGGGTAGAGCTGAGACCCAACACTTAGTCACACAGACACTGCATACATACTGACGTGCAGACAGACACATCCTATTGTACTGTTTACTTGATTTAAAAAAAAAAAATGATTTGGGGTGTCCCTCTTTTGTCACACTTTTGAGCCAGGTTGTGATAAGAGCCATGTATGTATTGCCCAATAGGCTCATTATAAAGACTGTCAAGCTTTCTCAAGCTTGAACACACCCATTAGTTCTGTTCCTGGAAAACCCCTTTGGAAAATACGTCTGTGATGTTACATTGGCCCCAATTACATCATGAGATAAGCTCACAGGGAGCTGAAACTCTATGAGTACATAGTAAGTAACTATAAAAAGGGAAACCTTGGAGAGACGAAAGACCAGAGTCCAATAGAAAGAAACAAGCTTCCCCTTCAGAACAAGGACTGATACACATTAAACGCTTGTAGCCTCTCTGTTGACAGGTATTCCCTGAATGAAACAAGATTCCATAGAAGGAGGTAGTCTAACTAAAGTATACAGCTTCATCACTGTTGCCTCCTTACACAGAGATTCAACAAAACCCTTTGACTCAGTACACAACTGGACAATGTGTTGCCTCCATGTCTGCTTCCTGTGTTTAGAGTGTGCATGTCATACCAGCATCTACAGGCGTCTCTGGTATATCTTCATAGACTCTCAGATCCAGAGGTTTCATCCCGAGCTCCTGGAGGGCCTGAGCTGTGGTCTTACAAAAATTCTGCATAGATCGATTTATGTACTTCTCCCGGATGAATAATGCCTTCACCACACACTTTGCAGCATCGACCAAGTCAGTGAAGGGCACCTGGAAAGATATCATAGACTATTAAAATTTGTGTGAATGGAATTTAACTTATTGGAGTTTAAGTTTAAATGCTGATAAAAACATTAAAAATCTAATTAAAAAAAGCTCCTCACCCCGCACTTTTCCTCTCCAGATATTGAGACCCGCTGGTACTCTTTCTCCAGAGGCAATTGTCTCTCCCTAAAGCCATCATCAACAGTGTCCACACTCTTCTCCTTCATCAACCTTAAAAGATAGACAGTGAAAAGGAGAGTTTAAAAGGAGAGAAAGATAGGCAGAGGCAGGACGGGTAAGGACACATTAAGATGGAAAACGTGGATATAAGCAGGAAGTGTGGTAGAAAGGTAAATGAGAATCCAGATGTTATTGGTTTTATAAGTTGTAATGGCAGCATCAGAAAAAAAAGAAAGTTTGAAAAAAGTTTGAATCAGTCAATAAGTTTGAAACAATGGGTTTGGAAAAAACCCTTCCCCTTTATCAACACACAGCAGTCCAGATGTGTTTTCGTTTATTTTTTTACACAAAGTATTTCATAGAAAACATCATAAGCTGTGATTACAGCCTCAGTCTTCTTGGATGAGGCACCTTTGCACATATTAAGGTTGACAGTTTGTATTCTGTCCTGCATATTATTTCAGGAACATTATTATTATATAAGAGCAACCTTCATGTCTCTCTACAGGATTTCAGTGAGGTATTGAGGTCTTAGTGAGATTAACTTCTTACATCACAACGATGAAGCCCATTGTGTTTCTGCAAACTTTACATTCTTTGCAAAAAGGTTCGTACCCTTTTCGAGATGCATGTCTTTAACGTAGTTGGACCTCAGAAGTCTACAAATAATTCCTTAGACTTCACAGCTTGTTATTTTGCAAATACAAACACAGTGACACACACTGTGGAAACGTTGGAACTGTGGAGAGGTATGTAACTCTGAAAGATGACTGAATGTGTTCTCTGTGAAAGTTCTGTAAATATCTCAGGAATGATTTAAGGAGGATGCATTGAAACTCAATTGGAAATGTCATTGCAAAGTCTCTGGTAACATATGCAGGTGAGTTATTTCTGTATGTTTGTACATTTGCAATCATCTCTGAACAATGTTCACTTTGTGTATGAATACTTTAAGCCCACTCTTTATATAGGGCAACAGCTTGTAAGATGACAATATAACTATATTATAAACTTCAGTAGTTTAGCTACAGAGCTGCCCAGTGACTGTAAGAATTTCTTGGGGTTCAAGTTTCATTACTAAGAAAACAGAAAAATATGCAAATGCAAAAACACTCACAGACTTCAGACTCAGATTTAAGAGACAGGTTGTTTTTAGAGATGGAAGGTAACCATTTTGTACATTTACATGTCACCAGCAGGGGGAAGATGTGGTCCATCTCAATATGCTGATAATGTCTGTCAGTGGTCCTGGAGAAAAGTGCTTACTTAACTTAACTTAAGACATTGATCACTACAATATTTCTAGGTAAAGTAAAAACAAGTAAAACAGAGATAAATTGAAAGAAAAAAAGAGTCACAAAACATACATACTGAAGCAAATCTCACTCACTCAAGGTCTGGAGCACTGTCGATTTTCATGAAGTCCTGTTTGGCGCGGAGCAAGATCTCTGGCTCAAGCCTTGGGGGTGATATGCAGCGGCGCAGGATAAGTGTAGGCAAGGCAGAGGGCAGACGGCATCAGAGGTAGTGAGAAGAAATTAAGCACACAGAAGGGAGAGAGACCAAATATATGCACAAGCACACACTCAAACAAGAACTGTCTCTCTCGCACACATACATTCATATACATATAAAGAATATTAGGTATTAAGAGATCAAGGAGAATGACACAAACAGAAAAATATCATCAGTTAGTAGTGGTACACCCTGATTGGTAAACGGGCTTGCAGAGGTTGTGTCAGATAACCACCCAAATGATCGGCGTAGTGGTGCAGATAGCGTCAGCACTGGCAACTGAGACAGAACCTTATAAAAGTTGTGTAGAAGAAGACTGAACACCAGGACAGGTGCCAACCGCTGGTTAGCCCAAAAACTGGCATGTTGGAAGCTGATAAGCATGTGTGCATGGGTGAAAGCAAGAAGTCTGCTAAAAGGTGGGGGCTAGGAGAGAGCTATATGCGTCTGAGGTCATTTAAAGAGTTTATTTAACTGGCTTTGTGTGTCTGCTGCGTTTGTGTTTCCTCACTTAATGTCCTGGCTGATTTGTCTCTCTAGGCGGTGCCGTCTCTCTTCCAGCTGTTCGATGGGGCTGTCCTCCGGGAACTCATAAGGAGCAGTTCGCATCTCGCTCTCTGCCATGCTGCGTGTGAACAGCTCCTGGTGCAAACATAAGTTATTCCATTTATGGTGTCATAAAACAGGCAAACAGGCCCATTTCTATGCACCTATGAATATATGGCAGACACTGAGGCTCACACAGAACCACCTGTTACATTTTCCTTCAAAGAAAGCCAGAACATGCCAAAGTGCTGTGATTTAAAATAAGGAAACTTTGATGAACGTGTGACATAGTTTCTAATGTTTTTGCACACGTTCAAGGGATTATTGTTGATTTTCGACATTAATTCCGTCAATAAACAAAACAAAGCTTGTGTTTGAAATTATTCTTCAGGCAAAAGCCACAGAGACAACATGGTTGACTATTAAAGATTCAAAGATTTTAAAACTTCCCAACATGTATTTTCATAGCTAGCAAATTCAAACAAACAAATGTAACAGCTGATTAAAATATCTGTGGACAACTGGTGCATGGGTGCTAATCAATAGTTGTAACAGTTGAAGATTATTTTGATTAGCTGTCTAATGTTTCTGTGAGTTTATTCGGAGCAGCAACATTATCTGTCTGGCTTTGAATTTTTACCTCAGCAATCTCTTTGTATTTTTCCTCCATGGATGTCCGCAGGTCGATTGGGTAGTGTGTGATAGAAACGGGCGTCCCTGGAAGGGATCTCTGAGGCTTGAGGGGTTTGGGCCCGGATGCACCACACAGGTCTGTAGGCAGACACAAACAGTATCAAAATATGTGCCAGAAACACATGGTCTCACAATATCACATTAAAATCGGAAATTATTCACTACAGAGTCTTTACTTTTAAGTCCTGTTAGGCAGAGGTTAAAATTAACAAATAACAAAAAAAAAAAAAACACATTAATGCCAACATCTACACATCCAAACATAAAGCAGCCATAAACCAGAAAAGGGCTGAAAAGTGTCTGTATAAAGAGGTCTGCCTCATAGTCATTTAACCTAGTTTTAACTTTTTAGAACCGCCCGGAAAATATGTAATGTAACTGTCTTTTGTAGAAAGTACCTTGAGTAGTAAGTACTTAACTTCTCATCCTCTTAAGTGTTGCATGGGAAAAATAACAATGTCTGTTTTTTTGCAAAGTATCTAGTCAACTTATACAAAACTATGCATGGGTCTTTTACATCACAAAAATATAAATGTCAGTAAAGTGACAGTACCTCCAGTGAAAACAGTGAGCCAGTGCTTTTAATGGATATCATTTTACGGTGCCCAATTGCCTGCAAGGATTACACTGTAGCCCGTTTCATGGCGTTAGGCTTCAGCGCTTTCCCTCAATACTGGATCAAATTTGAAACTCGTTGTCTCCATTATTCACTTCGACAAAAAAACATGGGAAAATAAAATCCAAGCTGAAAAACACCTAAGTTACCCTTTAAGTACAGGCTAATAAAATACTATGTGTTGATTGTGTTTATGGGAAGAATTGCTGGATTGATAAAGGCCTTAAAGGTAGTAAATAAAGATAGTTTACAATGTAAATGTTTAGCATTTGTAAATGTTTAGCATTTAGCATTTAACAGCTCTGACAGTAAAGGATTTACGAGCCATAAGATCTTTCTCAAAACAAACCAACACACATATAACATGGCTTCTTTACTGCATACAAAATCATGTGCATTGTGTAGTAAAACTCGTGGGTTCAGATACACAGGACCATCTGGGTGCTTTACACGCTTACGGCTAATTCAATAGTGATGATGTCACTCACTCTACAATTATTCATTATTTCACAGTCTGCTGAAAACAGAGAAAGGCAAATATGTGAAAACAAACAATACTTAATAGTACCATCACAGACAAAAAACAGAAAAGAATTTGCATTTGGTTTACCAAAATGACAACGTGTGTTGGTTTGAGTTCAGAAAATTATAATTTTAGAAACCACAAATACCTCAGACTATGTGTACACTACAGTTCAAAATCAATGTTCAAAACAAAAATAAGTACACATTCATTTAGCTCAAAACTACTACTAGATTTTGGACAAACCACAAATACAAACAACTGCTCCACTTCTTTTTATTTCTGAATTATGAAAATCAGTCAACTAAACACTAAACATAACGTAACTGGTCTCAAGATTGAGAAATCTTTGGTTTTTCTTCGTTCACCTAGAGGAAAATATTCAGTTTTTCTTGCATCTACACTGACGACATGAAACACAAACACATGAGTTGCAAATACTAAACAGTCAGTCAGAAGTTGAACAAATGTGCATAATCATGATTACCTATGAAGCTCTGGCGCCAGTGGCTTTAATTTGTGACAGAGCACAAAAACACCTTTTAATACGTCCGAGAACAGAAGGCGGCTTAGGGAAAGACAGCTGTACCAGCAGATACTGTGTCACTCCAGTCACACATGGGCATGCACAATCACTAGAAAAAGAATTACCCTAACTCACATGTACACACTGACTCTTGCGTACACACACCTGAGAATGACACAGAGGGGCCTTCCCCACTCAAGACCTGCTGGAAACAGATGACACCAGCTCCACTCCAAAATAAACACAATAGAGAACCACCGGAAGAAAAAGTACCTTTGTCTGAAGTACCGAAGGAACATCAGATTTACTGATTCTTGAGTACTTTCTAAAGACAGCCATGTATTTAAGTTGAAGAGAACCGTAATTTAAAGAGTACCATTGTTATGTGCACACACAGTAATTCACTCACTCATAATGAGTCTATAGCTTTAGGAGTGGTGTGTTCACTTTCCTCCGTAATTGTTGCCATTATTGGTGCTGTGGCCTGTGACAATTAGTCTCTGCCATCTGCTCTCTGCCTCCTCTCTCTCGGCCGTGCAGTTAGGAATGAGCAGAGGGTAACTCTCCATAGTATACTAATACTGGCATAACACTATAACCCATTTCAATACTGCATAATATAGTAGTTGTGCCATGATCTGCTGATAATCATATGCTCAAAGACAGAAAAAGAGCTTATTTTTTATACATATATCATTATAGCCTGACCAATACTAGATTATTGGGGCAGATTAGAAATGAAAGTTCACTCACATAAACACATTTTCGATAAGGACTCACAATATGTACTGAGCGGAACATTTTACCATCGAAAAATAAATGTATCTTTGTAATATCTGCCTCTGTAGTTGATCAGATCATATGCACGTCTTGTGTGGATCTAAGGACAAACAGACGACTTCAAGTATATAGGCGCACACACACAAACAAAGTCATCCCCAGTATAGTGTCCATGTAATCCCCTGGTCTTTCCACCACAGATGACTCTTAATCCAGCACCCCCAACTCTATTTATCTCAGTGACATCATGGTAGTAGGGAGCACAAACCTTCTACACATCTACACAACAAGTACACAACAAAACTGGACTACAGAGTTTAAAAAAATAAAAAGAAAGCAGAAGAATGAACCTTTGTCACCTGACATGCAACAAAAACACAGCCAAGAACCAACCATCAGGACAGCAACAGCGACCCTTACAAGTTCATCATGGGCAACTTCCAAGAAAGACTTTAGTCATATAGGCCTGATTCATGATTCATTCGGTTAATGGTTAAATAAAAAGCTAAATAGCAACGAGACATGTAAATGAAAACAACCCTGTTGATTTGTCTTGACAATGTTATTTGATGATTTTTTGAACAATTTCTTTTTCTTTTTTCTTTAATGATGTCTGAAAGCACATTAGGCTGCAGACTGTGAGCTTGTCCTTGAGTTAAATGAAATTAAATCGGTGCGATTCACTTATGAACAGTGTGGATCAACATGGGACAATCTAATCTCCTTCTTTTGGTAGTATTTCTGTGAAGCCTTGACATAAACACTTTTGTTTTGCTTCAAACCACCATGCAGATCCAGATTGCAGCACACATGCAGGCCAAGAAATTTAGCCTCCTCACCTCAAACACGCAGTTTACTGTGCGGGTTGTCTTTACCCTTTTTTTAGAGTAAAATGCCCTTCTATCATCGTGTAGCCATTGAGAGTTAATTTCTAAGCCCAGTGAGTAATACTGACAAAGCTATCCATCTCAGCTTTCTCTCACATCCCTGGGACCTGAGTCTGTACACCACCCACATACACTACCCACCTGTTCTTTGAACCCTACCACAGAGACATCTAGAATCTGTGGAGCTGCCTGTTCTCTATAAGGATCAATACAATCCCTCCAGCCTGTCTCATCCTCCCTGTCCCTCGGGCCAAAAGTAACGGCAGACTAGTTTTGGCTGTCATTGTAGTTCATATACAGTAGTAGTTCACAGAGTCAAACAAAACATTGTACAGTATGTCCATGAAAATATTATAACCAGAACAATCTATTTCAATTTGCCAACTTTTATTTTCCCAACCTTAATCCTTAATGAACCCCTTATTTTATCATTAAACATATTTTATGGATATTTAGTGCACAATAATAAAAGTACTGAACTGATAAACTTTACAATTAACGCCAATGCTAAAAAGCAATAACCGGGAAGTTTGTGTAAAACGAGGAATCTAGATTAACATTAGAGATAAGTTTTCCTGATATTTTTAGGACCTTTTTATACAATTCTATGTCTGTATTATGTATTTTCTTTTTTAACAACCATAATAGGCTTCTTTTTTTGACAAACTCAGTGTTTTCTTCTCATTCTTCTATAAGGACTTTGGTTTTACCTGCGTACTTTTCTAATGCAGGACCAGGCTGTTTAGCAGAGAATGAAGGCTCTGTGAATATAGCTTGTGTTTTGGGAGCCAGTGTGCTAGAGAACTATTCTCAGTGTGTCAAAGAGACCCTTTTCACCACAATAATAACAACAGCCAAGGTAACTGGCACTGTGGACACTACATCTGGCCTTGCACTGCCCCATCTGATCAGGCACAGTGCATTTTAAAGTCAAGGAAATGCTAACATGTTGTAGTGGTCCTTGCTTTATTCTTTGCCCCATCATTACACTACAGCGGCTATCATGTTATGGACAATACAACCAATTCATGTCTCAAAGAAATAATGAGACGAAGATTTTTACATGTAACTTCACAATTACAGTGTGCAATTCTCTTTGGTCACTGTTATCTGACAACAAGAGTTTCAAGAGTTTCAGTATGGTATACAAAAGATAATTGATGGTTCTCCTTTTCACTTTTCTCTAAGTCTAAAAGGTACAACCATTAAGAGGTTCAGTTTTTCTTGGCTCCATGCAAAACTGCCAAGGAGTGAACTCTTATAGGCAGGTGTCATTTTATTTTGCATTAACTGTCAGGCAGGTGTGCTTTTTTCAAAAGTAGCTTAGCAAACAGTGCTTCTTTTTTCTCTCCTTTCTTGTTTACCTGTTTTTGAAATGAGACACACCCTGACATAAGTCCAGGAATTCACAGGTGTGTGTAGCACCGTCCGCCTTGCAGCAAACTGGCCACGTCTTTCTTAGTTTGTTTTTACTTGTTGGTGCACACGCCAGTCTCTTTTGAATTATGCATGAAGTTAGACCACATCCATAGTATTATCAGACTTTAATTAAATGACCAGTGTGTAGGATTTAGTGGCACCTAGTGGTGAACTTGCAGACTGTAATTAATTAACTGTAAGTAGAACACAGTGGTTTAACATGGCGGGCTCCACAGAAGACGACCCACAGCATTTGTAGATAAACGATTCCTATATGCAGGTGATTATACATTAATGAAAACATACCTATGACTATTAAATTCCATTTCTGCCAACCACAGAGACAAATCGGTTAGATAAATAATGCAGACACAAGGGAGCCTGTCGTCTGCTGCAAAGCCATGTACAGCCAGGGATGTCACGTAGCAGCAATGCATGATGGGCATCTAAGAATGAGAGCAACAATCCCATAGTAATGTGTTTTGGTTTACCATTTGGTCTACTGTGATTGTGATTGTGGCTCTAGTGTTAAGAAACATTTGTTTTTCTTTATAGATTTCACTTTATTCCCTAAGAGAAGAGTGATGACACAGGCTTCAGATGTTCCTTAGCAACCACAGATGAGAATAAACCTCTACCTCGAGTCTTCGTCTTGAAAATATATTTTCAGTACTTGGGTGCAAGAGAAGGAACATGGGTGATGAAATCTGCCAAGCAAAAACTACTGCCTGCAAATTCCCTTTGTAAACAGTTGGGACATAATTTATTTTAAAAATAACTTAATGAAGGCCTGCTGGGGAAACAAAAATACATTTAAATGCAGGCGTAAAAACCAACAAGATCATCATTCTCAGTACTGTGGTAAGAGACATTTACCTTTACTGGCACTTTACAGCTTTCTGTAACGTAAGCAGCCTTTAAAGAGGAGACAGAGAAGTCACTGCCATCACACACACACCAACACACAAAACAGACGTCAGCTGTTCTCACAAAATGATGGTCGACATGTTCAGGTGAAGTTCTGCCTGAGGGGTACAATGGCCATGAAGAAGCAATTCTGAATAAGATTTTTCTGCAGCTTTAGCGGCACCATGTCAGGAATTGAAACTCTGCTGCAGCTACCTTTCTGATTTACTGCACACTCTCCGTGTGCCATATACTGTATATGGTTTTTTTTTCGTCAGCAAACTCTCAAGACACTCAGTGATTAATCCACTGGGCAATATGACTGCATCATACAGGACTGTAGCAAAGAGCAGTAGGGACTAGATGCCCCAAATCTTCACTCACTGCAATAGCAATAAAATATGGAAAACATCAAGCTTTCCAAATATCAACATTACAGCAATAGACCCAATGCATGATGTATTTTTCTCATCCAACTGCTTATGCTACCCCCTCCCCAGTCTCTATATCCCTCCCAATGTCTTCTGCATGCTGTCTGCTTATTCCTCTACGCAGCAACTGTGTTTACTAGCACCTCATCTGTCACTATGAGCTTGTTTGTGCAGTATTTTAAATAATAAGTACCATGCATCACAAAGAACTGCTGAAACTTCTAGCAACACAGTAACAGGAACATTATCAGGCTCTACAGTATATGGTGCTGTTCATTACTCATTACTCAGCAAAGGTTACAGTACCTCTATATGTCCCTGCCTTGTCCTGTTCTCACAGTCTCCGTTACAGTCGCAGTGGCCTTGTCTGAGCTCCTGCGGGATGCTGGGACATGTAACTAGGCCTGGGACGGCCGATGTACCCTCCCCCGCCGGCACAGTGGAAGAGAGAGAATGACAGCAAAGAGAGAGAAGAGACACAAGATATGCTCTCTCCTGAACACAAGCTGCTCTAACACTGGGATCACACAATTCCTCCTCTTTTTCTCCTTTCTCCGCTTCTCCTGTTGTAACTGTCACCACCTCCAGTGTGCTGGCGAAGCAGTTTTTTTTTCCTTTTTTCTCTGACTCTCTCTCTCTCTGCCTCTGTCTCTCAGCTGCTTCCTGGATTACACCGGTTTTCAGTCCATGAACGACACAGCCTTCAAGCTCCCGGATTTAAATACTGGGTTGGATCATACCACGTGGCAAAACAGGGGAGGGACCGGGGTGAACCACTTCGGGCTCTATTGTGCTGTAAAATGGAGGAGGCCCTGCATCTCTAGCCCCTCCCACTTCTTCTCTACCTCCCACCTCTTATTCATGAACACGTTGCTTCACTCATCATCGTTTATAAGCCTTCAATTATATTATGAATGGCAGTATTCATTTCTTTGTAAGTTGTTCTTATTTATTCATTTAATCTGTTCTAAATGGCTTTTTGCTATGACTTAATGTCATGCTGCTATTATGGGCTAGTCTCTCTAATGTGTGTTTTTTTATTCTGCTTGCTGTTGATGAGTCTGTGTTGACGCTCCTGTCTTATCCATGCCACAACATACATTTCTAAGTAAAGATTTTAACTGAACTTTCATTGGTTTTTTTTTTGTATTTAAATTCGTATGTGATTGCCAGATGTTTAAATCCAAATTGTGTTTGTGAGGTCAGTTAGTCATACGGCTGAACACAGGTATAAGCTTGTTTACATACTGCATGCAGTGTTACTGTCTCCATCGATCATGTGATGCCAGTGGAGGCTATTTCCTTCCTCTCTCACATGACTGCACAAGGAAGGCATGCAAGAAGTCTGCTAATCCTAAATTCCATTTTTTAGTGAATTTTTAAAGCCACACTCAAAGCAGAGACCATCACGGAATTTTCCAGATGACGGTCAAACAAATATATGCACACAGAGACACACACAAACATCAGCATGAAAGACACACAAAAGGCAGACACATTCCACAGCAGGTACTGACTTCTGGACGGATCCTCATTTTTGTACAATACCATTACATACAAATGACCCAGCTGCAACTAAAGCCAACAATAAACAGTACACAAGACTCAGAGGAAACAACAATGTTGCTCATGCTTGTCTGACTCATAAGTGAGAGTTTGTTTTTCATCTTCCATGGTCCTGTAGCCAAACTCAATATTGTGTACTGACCCAGTTTGACAGGCAGGGAGCAATATGGACCAAGCCTTTAGGCTACTACAAGGCAACGACTAACTGCCTCCTAAATTTGAGTAGCCCAAAAACACAGAGAAATATGTCATTTCTCTCTCCAAAGTTGCATGATTGATGAAGCTGGCCAAAAGGTCAGGAGGCGAGATGAACTCATGAATCGTGCTGTACTGATTGGCCATTTTCCTAGTTGTTTAAAATAGAGAGCAAAGAGTATTACTAAAATGTTCTATTAACTTCAACAGCAGAAGAAACGTTACCTCCACATACTGAAAACATGTCATAGATACTAACCACAGTCAACACCTACCCATCACCCACAGTTTCTGAAAGAAAGCTGAACTAGATACACAGTGTTGTCAGTGCTGTTAGCCGTGCAGTCCGTTACATGATGGACCTAAAATGTGGTGGTCAGTGATGTGTCCACATCCTGTCAGCTGTTTACTAAGTGGGCAGAACCTTTACAGCTTAGCTGAGGTCTAACTACACCACAGAAAATCAACAATCTATTTGGAGGTTTTTGCTTTAAGAAATTTGAAAACACGTACATCGGTGATTCAGAAAACACAGAAGGGTCTTTAATAGAGTCAACATAGTTTTATAAAGTTAAAAACATGATTTCTGAAGCATATTTGGCACCTTTGCAAGAGTATCAGTGAATGTTCCTATGGTGATTTAACTCTGCAAAATCTTTAGAGTAAAGAGAAATGATAAACACAACACATTTTCACTTTTAAGAGTTTTGAAAGCCAAGAAGCACATTGCTTGTGACTCTGACTTTGATAAAGATAGGAAACAAGTGTGTCCTCATTCCATGAAGGCTTGTGGTGGCAGTGGTGATTTTGTAGAGCTCAAAGTTTAAAAATAGTTTGCACTGGCACTGTGGGGAAAAAAGACTAACTAACCTAGAAACGTTTCATACACATATGGTGAGAATTGACATATTTTGCCCAATTTCGATCCTAGTGCAGAGTGTGTTGTATTTCAGACAGCATGTCAAGCAACAGAGGCTTTTGCTGCCTCAGCATACAGACAGGGTATACTGTGACATGAGTTTGTGAATACATAGAATGATAATTTCATTTTTTTTCTATGTAGATTTGTAACCATAAACTTCATATTCAGCAACATATTCCAGCTAAATAAAATCTTCTTGCATTTTTAGAAAAGATTACCCAAACTAGAGGACAGTATAACTGTTGTTACAAAGTATAATTGTATCATACATGACAGTGGTTTGAATTGTGCCTCTCATTCTCAGGTATTCTCTGGTATCTCATTCATGTATTAATGAGCCTATAGAGGAGTCTTCGGATGTAGAAAGCTGTAAATGAAATGTATGTTACTTATGTTAAGAGAACAGATGACTGCTGTATATTTCTCTGAACTTGTTCTGGCTTGAGGCAAATATTTTCTTTGACTTTCTGAGTTTATTGAAATGGTATCTATAGGGTAAATGATGAGTATGTGTTCTGTCATTTATGACATTACTACAATAATAAAATCACAGCAAGCCAAATATGTAGACAATGTCAATATTCCTGTTTCCCAAAAGCAGTCTGAGGTTTGGTGTCCGTTTACACCCCACCTTGTGCTTTTCTGCTATATCCTCTGTTGTGTTCAACACATCCTTTTCCCAAGAGACTAATCAGCAGCACAGGGACTAGCTGTGCACCATTCTTCACTCCCTTTCTCCCAGATGAACACGAGAGCGTTGTCAAGAAAACCTAATCACTAACCCTGCACAAAAAATCCCATGTGAATAAGACAGGATAAACATTCAACTAAATACTCTTGGTTCCCAGCATTCGGACAGATGCTGCGTATCTCCATCAGTTAAGTTCTTACAACAATAAAACCTCCCTACAGCCCGTCACACGCAAATACACAATAAACTCTGAACTGTATACCCCCATCGGGTTCAGTGCATACCATGTGTCAAGGCTGAGTCCTTCCGGCAGCGGCCTGGGTTCGTGTCCGGCCCGAGGCCATATGCTGCGTGCCATATATACACACACAAACATGTACACAGCCAGTGCACAGACACACTGGCAGTCACACACTCCAATCCTCTGTGATTATCCAGAGCCCTGCCCAGTCACCAAACCTCTTGCCACCTCTGTCAGTGCAGCTATCGCCATATCTGAATATAGCAAAGAGGAGCACTGTGTCACTTGACGATGTCAACATGTAGCACACTGTACTTAGCGCTTCTTGGACATCAAGAGATTAACATCCCACTAAAGGTGAGTCAGGAATCAAAGCCAGAGGCAATAAAAAGAGTGTTGCTTCACTGACGTGGCTAAGTGAGGAGGCTTCTGATAACACATGTCCTGTTTCTATGAACTTTGATGCAGACTCACATGTACATGCACACCCCTCATTACTGCTATCTTTACTATGGGATTTGCCATTCTTGCTTTGATTTAGTGTCTTGTGTGTTTGGTACGGCCATGAGGACTTTATACATTCTGTAAATAAATCATAAATCCTAGAAAGTCTGTTAAATCAAAGTTTAGACTCTTTTACCACAATGTGTGAGATTTTAGTGACTTAATTAAACATTCAATATTCACTATGCTGCATAACTCATCACTGTGTTAATTAATTGATTAAATCTTTGCAAAAACCCAAAATAGTGAACAATTGTCCATTACAATTTCTCCAAGCCCACTTTGATGTCTTAAGCTGTCTTGACCAACAGTTTAAGACCCAAATATATTACATTAGTCTCTTGAACAGTTTTGATAATTGCAGGGGGGCTTGTCAGACTGACAGGATGAGTGTTGACCAACTGTGGAGCATCCATCTCACTCCCCTGCCAAGAAGGCGTAGTTTATTCTCAGAGGTCTCTCGTGATTAGTAAACTATATATTGTATATGTATTCCTAAACTAAGTGAGGATAAGGGCTGGCAGATCATTAGGTGAACAGGGGTGTGGTGGGCAAGCAATTCTCTGACTCACTGAGGTCACAGGACAATAAAAAGCCAGTCAGGGAGCAAACATCAGCTGACGGAAGTTCATATGTGGTCAAATGAGGTGGATTAATGGAATACAGATCTCCATTAGGAGCCACGCTGAGAGCAGAGACAGACCAAAGCTTAACTGTACCTCAGCGATGAAACACAACCTATCATAACACAAGTGAATTAGCACTGTCTGTCAGTCTGCAAATCACCCCACTGAGGTACGGTGTGTCCAGTGGCACGGTGTTGGGTCTGGCTGTGTGTGTGTGTGTGTGTGTGTGTGTGTATACAGATACAGTACTGTGGCTCTGCTGGTTATCTACTCGACCCCCAGCAACAACAGGCCCACCTGTTGGCGATATAGCTTTCAAGGCCTTGGTTATTGGTTCTCCAAAATCCCTTTTCCAGAACTGACACACTTCCTCTGATACATGGGAAGCAACTGAGCTATTCATAGCAGAAGAAAGCCCTGGAATTTTCCACCCAAACACAGAGCAAACGGGTCCTCCTCAGTCATGTGTGACTGCAGAACAGCCAAAGAGCCCAGACACTGACAACCAGCCACTTGTTAAAAACTGATGGTCTGACTTCACAAAACACTTTCATGCCACACACTCCCTCTAGTGGAGAGATGGGGAAGTACACGTTTTACCAAAGCTTACCATTGCATTGAGTCCCTTTAATAAACAGATGCTGTTTTGACTAGTATCCCAAGTCTCCTTGTATGTTGCGTTTGTGCCCTCTACTGTAAATCAAATTTTCCCTCAAGGAACAATAAAGATTTGAACTAAAGTCTCCATATATACACACAGGTCTAACTGAGTAAAAAAAAAAGACTGTTTTGTCATTCAGAAGTCATTATTGCCATTTAGTTGCTCTTAGTCCCAAACTGTCCCTCAATGCTCTAAATTGTACTATTTAACAATAAATCTGATATATTCAATTGTGCAGTGCCACAAAGATCTGCGTTGCCTCTAAATAGTGAAGAAAAAAATACCACTGACACCTTTTCAGCAGGAATTATTAAAACCTACAATACAATTTAACACCCACAACCACAACTGTGAGGTTGTGGGTCTCTGGGCAGGTACTCCCAGTGTTTGCTTGTCACATGTTTCTGTCTGCTGCAGGGCCAGAGGGTGAGTGTGGGGGTGGAGTGATGCGTGAGCAAACTAGGGTTGCCAGTTGTGCAGATTAAAGTCCATAGGGCAACAACGTGTAGATGTGCTAAAGATTCAGTAAGGAGTGTAACAAAGCCCCCGAGGGGCAACAGAACAGAGCCCACATGACTCGGCAAGTCATGAGATACAGAATACACATTAATCCATGAGAGAGTCCCACATGCCATGACAGGAACAGTATATCTGATTAATTATGAACCAGAATGGAGTGGTGGAGGGAGTAGCAACCAGTCAACTGCAATGTGTAACAGGATGTATAGTGAGTGGGAAGAATACAGATTGAGGTGGAGCTGACAGTCCAAGACAGTCGAACAGT